AACGTTTCATCGGTTTGAAATTTATAGCGTTTTCTTGTGCAAGTCATGATGTGATCGATTTCACGCATAACTTTTCGTCGTTTGAGATGCAAGGACGCAGTAAATATTTCGATGTTGGGCTATAATTCGAGGATTGAAAGGCTAGCAGTAGCACAAAATGATGCTATTAGATTAGAGTCAATGTTTGCCAATTGTCGCTTCTTGGCGGCTCTGTCGAAATCAGCGACAGCATTCATGTCTCTTTGTTGCTGTGCAACAGTAGCAATTGTTGTGCGGTGAACAACGGCATGAAAATGGTTTATTAATACACAGCGCCAAAGCATTATGTTATCAATCGGATGAATGACCAATACCGACATATCGGCCAGTGTCTGACAAGCCCATTTCGACGTAGGAGATTGGCAGAGTTTTGGAAGGATTTCCTGTTGCTCGCAGAGGCTGGTAGGTTCTCAGGCAGCAAGTAAGTTTTTGATCCATGTTGCCGGTTAAATATTTTTTGGTCAACAAGGACGATAAGGTGAATCCAATCTGCGCAGAGACTGTATTCCTTGACGCTTTCGCAGGACTCCTTGATGCATTTATTCAGCCAGTATCTTTCATTAATTATGCCGGTATACTTTGACTAATGGGCGGTGTCCTTGCACAGTCCCGGAAGTGCCTTCATATTGATCCTTGACTTTACTGGAACGACTCCTTGTATTCTTCTCGGGTACCTTGTTATCACGCATCGCTCACGCTCATCTGCTATCAACAATTTTTTCCAGCTTGCCAGATGGATCTTTGTTCTCTGAGTGACGGTGTTCTCTGTTTCCCGCTTGCAATATTTCCCGCAGTTACGCAGTAGTTCCTTAAACGAAACCCAAAGAGCTTGTCTCAGAGTAACTTAACAATACCCTAGAATTAATGAGCTTTTATATAAGCCACTAAATTTTGTTTCACTTAGTCTTGTAACTTTCACTAAAGCTTTAATGATAAGATAGAATTGAGGAAAGCTGCTTTGTCATATTTTATTTAATATCCGCTTATGCGTAGGATACTTGGCAGCAGCCAGGAGCTAAACATAGCCAACTAGCTGCAAATTTGCGATATCCATGATCCTTGCACCATTCTGCACGTTCCGAGGACAACGTTTTGTTGCAATCTTTCAGTAACCATTTTTGAGTTTCCTCCTGAGATATTTCGGAATGAGGCTGTTTGTGGAGATGACGTCCAGTGCTATTCGTAAAGTCTTTAACAGATATGACTCGTTCAGATTGATGGCGAGGTCTTGATAGTTTCTTCTTTTATCCTCCCATGGATTTTTCCGCTTTCGTTTAATGGAACAGCCACATCGATTATTTCAACTGTCCTGTTCTTGCGATTCAGGATGAAAATGTCTGAACGATTGCCATCAACGGCACGATCAATGACGATGGGGTGGTCAAAATAGATGGTACACTAGTCATTCTCATCACGTTCACTATATTGCATTGATAACATGGCTTCTTTCCTAGACGAAGCTTTTTTCTGATCCAAATTGTTAGTGTATGATCTTTGCAACGCCATTATGCCGCGTGAGGTACTCGATGCTTGCCAAAACCGAAAAAGTCGCCACAATTCGTTGGATCGATTCCGTTGTACTGTCGCACATACCGCATTTGAGCAAGATGTTTTCTTTCATAACAAATTTCCAATAGTTTTCATGAATATCACTTAACCTTATGTTGCTAGTACAAGTCCTTCTGTTTCAGTGAACAGTCCTACCCTTCGAAGACAAGTAAGCCACTTTTCCGGGCCGATTCTATCAGACGCAAGGCCCATGGTAACATTGAGGAGCTTCCTGCCTCCATTCATCAAGTGTGATATTACATTTTTCTATTCAGTGGTTGCTTTCATAGAGCGTTAGCAACAATATCATCTGTCAGTTTCTACCATGACTCTAATTAAAGGCGAATCCATCAAGTGAAAGAAGACGCAAACGGTCAGTTGTTCTTTTTCTATAGATCAGCAACGATCAGCAGACCGCGGTTACAGTGCTTCCTTAGTAAATATAACCTGTCTGCAGATGATCACGGAGAGTGCGTACGAAAATCCGTCCATGTAGTTCTAACTTTCAGATCAAGAAAATCGATAGGGATTTGGGACTATTTCAGCATTCCAAATGTTTAAGCTAGCACCGGCATCACCCAGGTATTTACGGCTTTGATTTTATATATGGAAGAAAACTGTGTTCCAGACCAACGGAAAGCGCTTGTTGAATATCTTTCACTTCTATAGAGTCGATTCAGAGAAATCCAAGCAGTACCAAAAATTTATGACATACGTCCGGGCTTAGACATCTTCTGAATTTCTGTCCCGTCCTCAGGATGCAAGTTTTCTGACTGGAACGGCTTTCACGTTTAGTATGCATAATTGCACATTTACTTATACCAAATTTCCTCCTACTGACTTGCTAAAGTTGGGTACCAGTTCAAAATACATTCATGCTAGATATGTCTTTTCATTTTTGGCGAACGATTTCAGGTCACCCATGTGGAAGAGGTTATGGATCTTCGTTCTGTTACTTTTCTCGGCAAAGCAGTCGTGTTCTGGTTTGTTTAATACCGTATTAAGCGGGCTTATTCTTGACAGAAGCAATGATTACTGAGATTGCCCCCTCCCAAATGTCTCTTCTTACCTCAATCATTTGGCTTTCATACTGATACGAATCTCTTCAAACACACAGTCGCGTTCTTTACGGTTCAGAGAAGCGAGCCACCAAGGCAATGTTACTGTCATTGACCTTGTACGTTCGCAACACTGTCGGCAGCCATGAACGAAGTACTGAGTCAAACGATTTCTTATAGTTCATATCGTCAACCTATCTATGTAGGATGATACGTCTTGCAAAAGAATTGACTGATAGCAGTTAAATAAATTATATGCAGCTCCTTGTAGCCGTGGCTTCCTTGTACAGTATGTTCCCAGATTTTGTGTGACGTGCTGACACGGTGTCTAAGAGCTCTCTTTTTCACATCAGAGATGCGGCGCTCGATTCCGCTCGAGCGCACTCTTTCTCTTATTCATGAATTTCCTTGAGCAGGGAATTTAATGGATATTGCATCAGACCTGAGTTTCTCAGTCGGTATGACATCGAACTCTGAACTGCTAGGTCCTGAGTTCAAGTCCCAGTATGGTTCATTCGCCTTTCTATCTTCTGAATTTGATAAATCAGTATTACTCTGTGGGAAGGATACAGGAAACAGCGTGCTACGCTTATCAGCTGGCTGTAGACTCTGTCTTAAAATCATAAAGCACTCACGACTAATAACATATAAATGGAAATCAGCTCCGCACCATGAAATTCATGAAAAGAAGCGCGGAAATTGGCAGAATCGTGAAAATGAAAGAAGGCTGATACTCCAAAATCGACTATATGCATTACGTTTACGATTTTCATCGACGGTAGAGCAGCGATCCTCCATTCTTCTTCTGAACGCGCTAAAGGTGCTTTAGAAGGTCTCTGTTAGTTCTCCGCCTATGTGTTTCTGCACTGTAGCTTTCTGGTTAAACTCAGGCATATCCATATCTACAACTTCTTCATTCCATGTTGCTGTTTCTATTTCCAACCTTCTAAATTCTCTCATATGCAGAAGGTTGACTTCTTTCTTTCCACTAGCGATTTCATGGTCTCTGTAAATAGTTTCGTGTTCAATCACCCGTAAAATTTCGCTCTCAATCCCAGATATCATTTTTTATAGTAGGGACTTACAGTTAAAGATCACTAAGAGATGATCGGGCAGTCTCTGTTCATTTGACAGTTTTCCGAGATGCATTTCATAAACTCCTCTGTTGCCGGTCCCAGTCTCGATGGGCAAGGAGGAGGGTTGGAGACCATGGCTAGGCCTCCTTAAAACTTAGCCACTGCTCCTCATAGCACTGCCTTCATCTAACATTACTCAGGCTCGGTCATCGACCGAGCTACCAAGGACATCACAGGCTATTGGGAGACTGAACCAGACTGCGAAAAGTAGGTGATCAGAACCCGCTGACCGCCAACTGGCAGCCAGGGGCGTAGCAACACAGCAACGGCAGCTGAAACTCGAGAAAACGACGATGACGATACCAATCAGCGTCCGAGTCGCTACCCACTCTGAACGGAGGAGGCGGACATCGCGATGCCATTATAGCATGTAAGACAAGGTTCCACAGAAATGACGCTGCCACTGGAGACTTACAGTCGGAAACTGAATATATCCTCACTCTGAGGGAAAAACGAAGAGCTAGTTGATGAGGCCGCAAGGAACCAAGTCGGCCACAGTTCGACTATCTATAATGAAGCACAAAAATTCTGGAATTCTGAGCTCTGCGGGTGGAAGCTATTCGACTTAGTTTTCGACATCACGACGCGCGCTAAGGCAGGTGTTGGTGTTTAAGTCAAACAAAATCTGGCTGAGAGAATCACTTAATGAAAATCTGTCAGCGGAAGAATCGCAATCCGCAAAAGATATAACGATTTTATTAGTCTAAGCGTCCAATTTGGAGGGGGAATATTAATCCTTCCATGAGGAAATGGAGCGTGCTCTGTACGAAGTGCCGATTTCGAGATACCTCATTCTAATGGGCGATTTTAATGCGCATGACAGAGTAGATGCTGAAAAGCGGAACTGCGTGATTGGAAAAAAACAGTCCTAGAGACCTCAACAATAACCGCATGAAGTTGATGCGGTTTTGTGCAATCAACGGATTGTCCATTATGAAAACCTTCTTCGAGCATCGAAAAGTGCATCAATATACCTGGTACAGGGATGCTTGTGCACAAAAGTCGATGATCGATTTGATAATCGTATCGTCTGATTTAAGACGCTCAGTAATCTTCGCGTTCGCGTTAAGACAAGGGCAGAGGTATCAACCGAAGAAACGAAAAACATACGAAATCTGGCAGAAGCAACCAGAGAATCAAACGGGAAACATAATCTTCAGTGGACACGAGAGCGAAATTTGCAAACAACATCGCACGACGGTTTGAACAGACCCCAGCGATGACCACTGATGTGGAAGCCGAGTGGCAGCTGTTTAAGAGAGGCCTACTCGAGGCTGCCGCCGAATGCTACGGATATAAACGGGTTGGCCTACCGCCTGGAGGTCAGAAAAGATCTGCATGGTGGACACGAAAGATACAACTGGCAGTTAAAGAGAAAAAGGCAGCGTTCAAGAAATCGCTTCGAAGCAAAGTGTCTTCAAATTGCATGCGATATGTAGAAGCGCGCGTGGTGACAGCGAAAGCAGTGGCGAAAACCAAAGCTGATTCCTGAGGGGAGGTTCCGTGAGGTGTTGGAGTGGAATTTCCTCACGGCAAACAAAGTATTCCGGCGGACCATCTTCCGGCTCCGAGGTGGAAAGAAGGGCAGTCTCAGAGACTTGAAGGACAAGTCTGGAAACCCTCTCACCAAGGATGAGGACTCTCTTCGGCGATGGACAAAGTACTTCGAAGAACCTTTTATCCATGCGCAACCGCAGAAGGACTCGCATGAAGAACAGCAGAGAACGAATATTTGTCTCTGTAGGTGAAATCACATGGTTACGAAATGCTTTAAAGGTGGAAAGGCTGATGATATTGATGAAATCTGCCCTGAAAGGCATGCAATATTAGTTAAACATGGCTTGTGCTGACTTGCACCTGCCTGCGAAACTGCAGGGCTAAGGCGAAGACACAAGCGCACTTTAGAGTGGGGGTTGTGCATCCATGTTACAGAAAGAGGTCTACAGGGAGTGTTCTAATTATTAGGCAGTATCTATATTGAGCCTCGCGGGTAAAGT